TTTTTTTATATTCTATCTAAGCCATTATAATATGTTCTTGTAGTGCTTCCACACAAATTTAATCAGGTACCAGTAGATTTTCCACACGCGATAGTCTAGATAATCACACTTTTCAAGCTGTCTACATATATAGGTTTTAGATGTTTTATATTACGTTGAGAAGAGTCGATAGAATGAATCACGAACAATGTGGTTGAGTTTAAAAGGTTAAAATTTTCGTGGTAAAGATAAACAAACTATTAAAATAGGCAGTTCGGTAGCTCAGTTAGATTCTTACATGGAACTAGTATTTGCAATGCCTACAAATAATTGTACCGCGTCTGGATGTCCGTTCATGTGGATGTTATGTATGTAAAAGGCCTCCATGATACGTTCGTAGCGTTTAAAAAATAGTTAACCCAATGATGAGCAAATTAAACATGAAAATATGAGATTTGATATATATTTTTCAAGCTTGCCTAGTTAACAACGTTCTTTTAAAAGAGAGGACATACTCTTTTTTAATACACGGTTCTCTAATACGTACTCGTATATCTTAATAACGATTAAATCGTATCACTGTGATACGTGTTAAATGTTTTTTAGTTTTCATACAATCATGCATTCTAAGTACTCCTTCATTCCTTAATTTATTACAAAACATAACTAGCCTGTTTCTGAGCATAATCCTCCCCCAACAATTACCTCATAGAGGGATATGTGCCATACATGCCACGCTTTCTGTGCCTGTTCCAGTAGTTGTATGTCTGTATAAAACATTACCGCGTACGAAACACCACCGTGCTACAAAGAGTGGGGAAGGTCACAGAGATACTTGTAACCATAAAGAGGAGGAAATTGGAATATTTTGGGCACGTGATGCGTAACACCAAAAAATATGAACTCCTTCAACTTATCATTCATGGGAAATTGGCAGGCAGAAGGAGGCCTGGCCGCAGAAGGATATCGTGGCTGAAGAACTTGCGCCAGTGGTTCGGGAAGAGCACAAGATCATTATTTAGAGCAGAGGTCTCAAAAGTTGAAATCGCCCTAATAATTGCCAGCCTTCGTAAGGAGACGGCACCTTAAGACGAAGATAAAAATTTCTGACTGCTATTAAACTCAGGTCTTCATTTGCATGCTATTACGATGTTTACAAGCATTTTATAAAAATTTTGTCTGTTTAGGCGAATCTTCGACATGGCGTATGTAGCGATTGTGATAAAACTTTATAAACCGATAGAGAGCAATGCCAGGAGAGATCTACGCTGTATTTAATTCGATTTTTTTTAAACGAAAGATTGATAAAATAAGTGGTCTACATAACGCCACATTAATGGATCAGAATATAAATATAATAATAGCAGGCTCCACAGACTAAGTTCCGCCCCTCCGAACTGTTTCTTTTCCTCTGTGGCACTAAACCAACATATTATATTGCAAATATAAGACATTTAGACTACAGCACACCGGCGGCTCGACTGGAATGGGACCACGCTCTCACAGAACACCAGCGTAAATAGCAGCTTAATACTGCTGTGTTACATATGGTGAGTGTAGAGAATCGTAGACCCTTTTTACTGGAATTTGCATCTGCATTTTGATTCTTAATTGAGGATAAATGTATATGTTTATGGGCTACAGCATCCATTTACCATTAGGTGGATTGTGTGCTCGTTTGTCACCCTCCCTTATACTTAAAAAAATAGTACGTAAATGGAATGCCGCGATACCATTAAAAGGGTCTCCAATTCCGAAAACTCATCTCACGGGATATACGTAGGTAGCAACGTTACTCGACTACTTTACGGAAGTATTCTGTAAGAGCATGATGATTCTTACGATGCATCGTGTTATACCATAAAATTAATACGGAACATTCACTTTAACACAGCACACAGTTTATAATTACAGACTTTACGTTTGTCACTCACCTTTATACAGATAAAAAATAAGCATATTAAAACGAAATAACTTAAATAAAATAATTATTGTGGCAAAGAAAGCTAAACAAGTTAGCGTAATAAATTGGTGCCTCTCATAAAAAAACAGTACGTTGTTCTAATACTTCACAGAACGCTGTAGCTGGGACTATTGTTTTATCCAGGGTAGAGACAAAAAAAAACGTTCGTCTATGAAAAGCTTCGAATCGCTACGTATATTGCCCTACTTAAATGTTTTCTTTGTAACAGATCTCTCTTTCTCTACTCAACGGTGTTTCATGTTATTATGTTCCGATAATCTTTAGGAAAATATGGCGGTATCGTAAAACGTTATTGTATTTATTTTTGCCGTAGTCGTTCATTTATTTTTTTAATTAAAAAGGTTTTAATATCTTATTTGTTTTCATTAACAAAGTATTAGGTCAAAGAATGGCAATTTATACTCGTTAGTGTTGTCACTTGTTGGAGCCTACCACTGTTACCGTCACAGCGTAATAAAGTCCACTGCTGAACATAGGCCTCCCCCATAGATTATCTCATAGGAAGGATATTTACCATAGTTGCCACGCTTGGCAAGCGGTTTGGCAACCGCAGTTTTTCATTTTCAATCTTTATTGGTTTTTTTATTTATGCTATCCATCTTCAGATGTTATGCTGCCGTGCTGCCCATCTCCTGATTAGTTTCCCTCTGTCGCCTCTTACGACACTCACGTGATGATATGGGGTAGGGGTTACTGTTACACCGTCACTGCACGGCTATCACTGTAATAAGCATATACCTAATAAAACTATGAATTAATACTACTTATTAAATTCAGGTACAAGAGATCTTTTAAAATACTAGTTATACTATTAAAAATACTAATATTCCCTTGGTAAGTTTAAAATATTTGTGTTAAGAGCGGTCCACGATAGTATTTGAATTGCGGTTCACTTTGAGTTTGTGGTTCATACTCTGCCATTAGACTAATATAGCTATTTCAATTATTTTGTATTATAATTTTAACTCTTCACTAGAATTTCCAAGAGGGTTTAACATCGTTATCACCATCATCATTACAGCCTTTCACAAGTCTATTACTGATCTCAGACTTTCTTTTTGTATTTACTAGGTCGTCATTCATGGAGCCTCCCTACACTTCACTTATTACTACAAGACTGCCACTCGAAAAACATTTTCCACAATTGTCGGTTCTATGAGTTACTGGATTAGAAAGCGTACAGTGTCAACGTTAATACCGAGTTCACTACCTACCTGTAATAATTTACCTAAGATATAGTAATGCGATGTAGATATGCTCATTGACATGAAAATGAACTTGCCAAAGGTCATGTGTAAGGTGAGACCGAGAGTTCAACCGACGAATCTATATATTTACTTGGTTGAGTAGCTTTTGAGAGATAACACAACACGTCACGTTTTTCTTAAACCTTGGAAGCAAGTGTGCGAGTAGTGCGCGGTGCCAGTAAATCACACATCGTGCCCAGTGCCAGTAAATCACACAGTAATAAACGAATCGGCGTCAAATTTACTATCAATAATTTAAAAAGGAGTGAGGCAATTTTCGAGCTCGAATTACTCACATGAACGCACTTTGCAAGATATGACAGTTCAAAGGAAAGTTTTCGATTCTTAAAGTTAAAGTAAAGTAAAGTTACAGTCTATATACGTCCCACTGCCGGGCACGGGCCTCCCCTCATTTCTGAGAGGGTTTGATTCTTAATCGAGGTTAAATGTAGATGTCTATGGGTCACAGCATCCACTTACCATCAGGTGGATTGTGTGCTCGTTTGTCACCCTTATTCTATAAAAAAAAGTTAAAAAAAAGTTAATAGTAATTTGCATACTTATTGTAATAAATATATTTTCGTTTCATTTGCAACCCACACTTAGTCGAAATGTATTTATTTACATATTTATATAACATCTATTTAGTGTTTTATGCTGCAGAATGCGTAACTAAAAATAAATGGCATCGTATTTATCATTATAATTAATTAAAAAGGTTTAAAAAATCGTGTTTTCTATTTTGGAAAGTATCCATTCACCATTCTTTACTTTCAGCTTTTAACATGTCACATATGTTAATAATGATTTGACAACAGTTTCAATAGGATAGTGAAAAAATGTATTTACAGCCTCACCAGGATATATAAAAACCTTCGCTATATTTTAAATATCTAAGGTAACGTGTAAAAATTTTGATTAACATCATGAACATAAAGAACAACGAACCGTTTATTTCCTACAACCAAGCCATTTTTTAAACTGTATTATCAGTAATTATTCAGCAACACAAATCTCTGGAAAATTATGAAAAATTATAGAGAAACGGAAGGTGGGGTAATATTGCTTAAACGGCCACGTACAAAATTATAAGAAGCCGTGACAATTTTTTCCTGCATCCCGGAGCGGTTGGGAAGCCACTGTGATTTATTTAATGAATAAAAATGTCTCCTCAGTGGCAACTCCACGCTTCGTTCCTTTGCCACGATATCGCAATTAGTTGCTTTGATAGCTTTTTTAAATAGCAAAGTTATGCCCACGATAAAGCTTTATTAACTCCAAAATCTATAGCCCTAAAATTTATATTTCCTAATTTACTACAGAGTTACATTTATTATTTTTAGTAATACGGACGCGAGATATGAATGTGAATGAAACCAAATGACGTAGAATTACGTAGCGCTCAATAAGGCAGGTAATCAAATAACAAGATAACGCTTAATATCCTTCATCTGTACAACAAATTAAGCATCGCGTCAAAGGAATCTGTGAATTATAAGTGTAAATAATCCAAAGTCCGCCCAACCACCACCGTGGGCCGGGCTTTAGAAATAAAAAAAAACGAAACTCGTTAAAATAGCGGCTTAAAAAAGAAAAGCGCTGAAACGGGAAGGCTCGGGTGGTATCGGTTTTTCTCGACGCGGGCGGTTCGCTGGGCGGGGCCGACGGCAGTACCGTGCCGCCGGCCGGCTAGAGCGAACGTGTTGCGGGCCGTTGTCCGACTTCGCCGCACCGTGCGCATGTTTTAGTGAATTTACGTTATGTTGATGTCGTCGTGAATTTGTACCAAGATGGACTTTCAGAGTGCTATGGAGACGTTCGCCGAGGCATGGGCGGCCGCGAATACTGTCAAATCAGAAGCGCCGAGTGACTTATCGCAGGCAAGTTTTTCATTAAAATGTTCTTTTGAGTTCTGTTTCTGTGTAGATGTCCTCTGAATATGTGATGTTTAATGTATTTATGTAGCTCAATAAATATTACCATAAATATATGATATGTTTTTAAAATAATACTCTTTCTCACATATATTGGACTTTTGAAGTTTTGAAAATGTATATTATTGTTTTCAAGTTAATGTTTTAATTAATAAAATTAAATAATTAATTGTTTGTATTGACGTACGTATTATAAAGTTTTGAAACTAAACTGCTCACCCAATGTAGACATTAATTGTGCAGAGATCCTTACGATTTTGTAAGACAATACGCACCTAATTAGTTCATCTAGACAATAAGCGGCCAAGTTCATCTTGATAACGCTTATTTGCATAAAAATAATGACACATATACTTGCATTAATATAATTTCAATACTAACAATAGTAAGCGATATTTCAGCAAGGACACCATATACCTATCATCGATCCCCTGTAACACTTGTGCACTTAACTTACTTACATAATCTTATATATTTTCTGAAATAAATAAAAAACTGAATTCCGTGTTATATTTCTCCTCAACTTTTAAATATCTGCTTTAAGTTTTCCATTAACTCAAGAAATATTGATATTTTTAAACAATAATTTATAGCGTACACATTAAAAGATTTAGACAGATTTAGCCGCTATATATATATATATATATATATATATATATATATATATATATATATATATATAACAATGTTATTAATATTTTGTTGTACAGTTATTGATATATGAATTTCGATTATTATCATTTTAGTCCCTTACTTCACTGCTCCACATTGGCCTCCCTCAAACCTATGGGGTTATTTACATTAATGTAGTTACTATTACCGGTATGAATAGGGTTGGCAAGCGTATGATTGTAAGAAAAGAGAAGAGCTACTATAGGTGACTACAGGAGAGTGTACAGCCAGAATATTTAGGTATTCAGTTATGAGGCCTCCTTTCGGTCAAAAGTCGACCTGAGCAGATTATGAGCCTTTTAACCTTATTTTTACAGCCACCAACCAATCGCTTTATGTACAGCCAACAGTATTACGGTATCATTATCATAATCATTGCAGGCTTTCACAAGTCCACTGCTGAAAATAGGCCCCTCCCAAAGAATATTGTGGCATTCTTTGGAGGAGGCCCATGTTCAGCACGGTCCTGAGTCACTGTTCCACCTGAATCTGTCAACTTCCTGCATGTCTTACCAGGTCGTCACTCACGTCACGTCATCCATCCAAACATTCCTCCACGAGCAACGACATAAATAAGTGCGGTGTGAATAGTATTAAAGCCAGCATAATGATAAGGTGAGGCATACCATTTTGGTCTTCAAGGGTGAAAATCCACCGTAGCTTTCTTTTTTGATGATGGTTGTGGTGTTGACATCGGCTGCAGTAGTTAGCCTACTGCCTACATGATAGCTTATCATGTAGGCAGTAGGCTTATTTTGTCGTTTATTATAAAGTTGACTTTGCTGCTGATTTTAAACGGTTTTTTTAATTTACTAGTATATTACGATGCTCCCGAAATAAATTCTTGCTAGTAAAGTTGCTATCTATAATATGGGTGGCGCAAAATTAAAAATAAAATACTCGTATTTAACGCAGACGGCAGAACGGCAGTCTTTTCATTTTTTTTTTCGAGTGAACGTTGATGTGGCCAGATATATTATTTACTTTTTTTTAATTTCACTAGAGTACACAGAGCAGCTCTTTATTTTGTATTCTGTCAAAACAATGCGAAGAAAAATAAAATCAATGATGTGTGACCAAAAATGAATTAGTATTAAGTATATAATATGTCGCCATACGGTAGTTACGACTACAATGAAATTTCCGCAAGACAGTGGCAACTATTATCGTGGATAAAAGACTGAAAAAAATGTATTAATATGTGATTGTAATATACGAAAATATTTAAGATGTGCGTTAAGGGTCATATTGTATGATGATATAAACCGAATATTTTGTTGGTTATTTTAATATTATTCTTTGAAAAAGCACGTGTGATGTCGGTTGATTGTTTGTATGTAGAATTTTATAGTTTATTTATTATTTCTTTTTTATTCATGTTGGTAGGTACATATTTTGGTACAGCCTCTCTAAGATGATCACACTATCACAAAACACAAGCATGATGCTACCGTGTTTCCAGCATCCACTTCGTTTTTCAGAATTACTTTTATATCAGAAACAATTATTATTGATCTTTATAGCATTTTAAATAAAAATGTAGGCACAAAGCAGTGCCGTAACCTTTCAGGTAATCTTTGAACATGTGTTGTTAATTCTTTGGAAAGCAAAAGCATTGAGTTCAAAATAACAACTTTTTGTTTGTAAAAAATTTTGTAACAATTATATTTACACCGCATTGTGTATTTTCCTAATCTACAAACGGACTATTACGAAATTATAGTTATCATTACATTAGTAAAAACTTTGGAATTCAAATCAAATGATCATTAATTATTATGAAATTCCATTAAAACGTTTAGCAAAGCGCCAAATTATCTCCATTAGTAGATTAAGAACGTCGCATTGTTAAACCACGGCAAATTAGTTGTTTCGTAATTACGGTCATTACAGCGGGTTAATATATATCCCAATACTGGCCTATAACTGCTTTTATATGACTGAGTATTCAAGGGCATAATTTAAAACTAATTATGTTGACATATTCAATCTTATTCTAATATAAATAGTGATCAGTTGGTCGATAATCTACACCTGGGTACCGATAACGCTTTGTAAAAATGTCGCATTGGAATGAATGGCTTGCTGACGTATGTGCCGACGCATTCCAAGTTGGACCTTAAATTAAGTGAAATTAAACATATTTTTAATCAAAGGAGGAATTAATTAAATACGTAAACACAATAAATACCTAAATGAGAATAAATAATTTTAATAATATGCATTTAGATGCATAATGCTTTTGTTACGAGTCTATTATATTTTGATTTACGTTTTATTTTTAATTTTCAATCGCTAATAGGCTTAATTATTTTCTTTCTTTCGTTCACGTGAATACTACACATTGAATGACTCAGAATTTTACGGATTTCTTCACGATTGATATCTTCTTGATGTTTCGAATATTTGCGGGATTTATGGTCACGGTGGAACGGCAATTAGAGTGTCCGGATATCCGACTTCTGACATTTTTTATTTTGTTTTGTAATTAGCTCTTGTCGTGCAATTGTAAATTTACCGCCCAGTCCTGCTTCTTGGCTTTATTCTCACTTATAGCAATGCTAAGGCGTGCAACGAAGAATTCGCTTGGCGAATAGCACCCTAGCTGCCGTTTCAAATAGGTTTGGCATGCTCACTATGAATATAAGTCAGCAGACAGTAGAAAGAGTTGTCAATTTCTTTCGGTTTCAGTCGTGGGTATCTATAAGACTTTTGTTAACTACATAACAACTTATCACCAGAAAAAGAGAAAGTTTCTAGTGTTTTCATCTTATACATCTTACGATTAACAAGTAAGTTTGACCCCTAGCCGTTGCGAATACTTTATTACAAATTGTATTCAATTATCATTATAAAACTAGATTTTTTAAAATGAAACGTAACACGTTTGATTGCAAAAATATAACAGCGCCAGTTGTGGTTACTGTTGCAAGATAAAAAACCACGAGCTCGAATAAACTTCAAGTAAATTATTGTCCTTACAAAATTGTATGCGGTCATTTGCTAAAATTAAAAACTTTCGATATTTTTGTGATATCAACCAGAATTGAACTGGGTCAAGTGACCAAGTTGCGGTGGTGTAGGAAGACATCATGTAGAACTTTATGCCTTAGAAATGATAATTATTTATTTTAAGATATGCAAAAGGCTTGCACGCACTGATTGCGCGGGCTCTGCTTTAAAATCTTCTGAAAATTGAGAGCAATCTGTGCGGGAGGGGGGGGGGGGGGGGTGTTACTTTTAAACTTTGTAAATGAAACAGATATTATTTCCTCAAATATATAAAAAATATTTGAAAGTTTACTATGAGTCTGTATGCAGCGAGTACATAAGAGAGTTCTGTGAATATTTTCCATCGTTCTTATATAGATATTTTATGCTCGTTTGTTAAACAGAACGATAAATATTTGTGTCTTTGAAATAGCAATCAATTTAAATAGATTGCGATGCAGTATTAACTACTTAGAACTCTAAAGTTTATTTTTGTAGATTTACAGTAGGATTATCACCACCAAAATGTTTTATAACACTTAAATTAACAGTCGATCGAAACCGATACAGTAATATATACTTTGTTTAATAAAAATTGTAAAGGATTTTTTTAAATTTTCAAATTTTGTGTAGTTAATATATTACGCGACACTTCATTTTTTAGGGATTCACTTACTGTAAAACTGATAATAACATAGTCGTAGAATATAAAAATAACCGATAAATTTATGAGCGCAGGATAATATTAGGATTAGATTAATTGAAAACATTACTCTTAAAAAGTCGGATTATCCGTCATTATACGCCATCACTTTAAGATTATTTAAAAAAAATGCAGTAATTTAAAAATTGCCAGAAAATAACCTTAACACAATTTATATACAAATAAATATTTATTAAAAAAATTAATTTTAGTAGGATTAACTGCACATAATACTCATCACCCTTGAAGTAATTGCGCAATGTGAAGAAAAATGTTTGTTGGCAGCCCTGTTCTAAACGTGCGCGCATATTACTGCATGAAATTGTTTTGAACGAAAAATAAATCAGAGCGCAAACATAATTATTGTTATCTAAAATAGCTACTGGCGAATAATCCGTGTCCAAGATAATATCAAGTATAATTCGATTTTGACTTTTACTAATAATACCGATAGCGGTGTTTATAAATATACGTCTGTGACTTAATCCATTATCTCGGATTATTGTTTTCCGCGATAACTTGTATTACCTTTTGCTGATACGCGTGTGGTAGCTGCCGGGCATAACGGAAAAACCTTCGC